GATTGAACTAAATTATTACGGAAAGATGAAAGACAGTTATTTTCGCATAAACACCTGTGTAAGATTGACTTGTCCGGTGTGAGATAGCAGTGTAAGATTTTTCTGTCTCATATTGAATATTACGACGCCGCGAAAGATAACGTTAACATTTCGTATTTATATAAAGATATTGTAACAATGTTTAAAAATACCACATATACTCTAAATGTTGACATTTAACTTATTAAAATACACTTATTTTCTTTTAAAATATTGGTGTTTTCTCACTTTTTATTATTATTTTTGATGCGAGAAAAATAATCATTCACTATATACTCGTGTGGGAATGTGAAATTCCACCTCGGGGACAAGATTCACGGTCTAGGACGAGGAATCTTGTCCCCTCGGTGGAATTTCACTATCCCACAATCGTAGTAATGAATGATATTATTAACCCCCCCCCCCCCCTCAAAAAAGGAGAAGGATTCAAGAAGAGATGAGAACAATATCAACGTGAAGTCAATTATTGAAAGTTAGATCTGACTCTTGGGAATTGAATTGTGACAATGTTGTAAAGTGTATTTATAAATCTTTGATTTGAGTTAAGTGTGTCTGCATACAAAATTTCAGTCTTTTAAGCCTATTGACTTTCAAAGCCGGTTAAAGTTTGCAAGTTTGTCTAAAAGGAAGAGCAAAAGAAGTGAACACCAGTTAACACATACCGGTAGTTCCAACGCATGACGAAAGTTTGCCCCCTCCTGTACCACTCGAAATACAGGTAAACTTCGTTATCTCGACATCGACGGGACAATCGGAAAATGTCGAGATGTCCGAGAAGTCGAGATATCAGAGTTCAGACTCGACGTCCTTAATTTTACTGCATTGTAAAACCACAGACCTAAACTGAAACGACACGTAACTAACCTACAAGTTTTCAATAGACTGTAGCTCGTCTGTTTCGGCTATCCCTCTATATTTATTGTCCTTTACATTTTTCCTGCATTCAAAATTGCATATGTATATGGATGAATTTCGTACGTTTTACGGAACGTCATGATGACGTTGTGAATTTTAACACCTCTGAGTTCTCATAAATAAAGTGATTGATATTTATTGAGTGTTTCACAAAAAATGTATATTCTAATATATTACAGAGAGTACTTCGATATTTTGTGAATGAAATATATATAACATTGAAATCATAACATCAGGTATAAATAAGCTTATGTTCATGTACTGTTGAAAATGACAGCGTGTTCGATCAGCGTGTGCAAATCGTGGTACGTAAATATTTTAATAACGATTAATCAAAGTTTTTATAATAATACTTTGATCGATAATTATCACAAACGTTATGTATTTCATATATTAATCAACCTGTATAAAGCCTTTAAAATAACTTTTAAAAACCTAAAAATGATAGCATTATTTCAGTTACGGTAAAAGGTACTTGGACACAGATTTGAACTTATTATTTTCTCTATAATATTACTACTTATAAATTTCAATAGCATTTCACACAAAAATTAATTAAAAATCTAAATGCGGGTCCAATTCTTCACAGGGAATTTCAAGCAAATCGCGGCTTTCATTTTAGTTAGAAAATTCACATCTCTTAGAGTTTTTTTTTAATTGTGTTGGAGTTTTCTTGATTTGTTATGAAGGTTTCAACATCTTTAAATTTCAAATCAATAAATTGTGGGTCATTGTTGACTAGGACTTCAGTTTCTTCGATAGGCCTGGTTGTTACTGATTGAGATTCTGAAATTTCTGCAGAGGGGGTTCCAATTCACTCACTATAATATCCGATAAATATTCATCAAAAGCAACATCAAGAATAGGAATTACATAGTATCAAAACATTGTGAGAAAGAGAGAAAGTACTAAAAGTACTAAAATACGTGTATATTACATGGTGTCTTTTTCCTAAATGTGTATTGAAAGGTCTTGGTTATTTACAGATCAACACTTTTTAAAGGACATGATTTATCGAGATCTTACCAGTATTTAACCAATGATACGTTAAAATCGTGTTGCTTTCATTCTTAAAACATGCATTGAAATACTTGCTTATAGATAGATTAACATTTTTGGTCTTCCTAAAATTCTTTGAATTAGTGAAGATTGTTTTGTATCAAAGAAATAAAACATTTTACAACTGAGAGCAGCAACATGGCAAACGTCTTTCTTGGCGATATTTCCTTTAAAAATACATGAGATCATTAAAAATATTAATTCTTATAGAATGAAACATTGACTATTTCCATTACCAATTATTTTCTCTTTGATAAACATTACAAAAGTTCATCTTGTTAAATCTATGGTAATACCTCTGGTAATGTCTCTACTAAAGAAAGGTCAAATGTCAGTCTGCATGTTTACGAATGGCGAATAAATACACTGAAGAGAAAATGGATGCTTTGTTAAATTGTTTACTAAGTAATTGGATATTATGTATATCGTTTTACAAACAAAATAAATAATGAATTGTCTTCGGATCAAAAGCAAGTCACTAGCGCAATGTTGTCCACTATCACCGGGACATCGCGAGACCGAGTACTCCAATTCCGTAAACATGGTAAAAAGCCCATCTGAACAATGTGGAGAAATCGCCACATACATGACTCCATCATCTCTGATACAGACATCGTCCCCAAGTCATTACCATCCGACTCCTTAAGCAACTCAACTTCCTTTGCCATTTTAACATTTATGGGACTATTATTTTAATAGTAATATTCGATGACATGGGTCGAGGCAATGGAAAATAACATAGAATGCCTCGTGCATTTCAAATGTACTAAATTAGACAGTATTTTTTATTTATTTCAAAATTGTTATTTCAAGTCAAAATGGAAATATAAGGGATCACTGTCTAGTTAAGAGACTATACGAGGGACATCAACAATAGTGGGGAACATCGGTGAAATTTTATGATAACGGGCTTCACCCAATAATAATTCAATGTTTCCCACTATTTTTGATGCCCTGGCATAGTCTCCTAACGTTAACTAGACATTGATTCCTTTAATATGATAACTGAAATTGCATGTATGATAAAACAAACCTGCTTTCAAGAAAGTGTCACGAGAATTATCCTCACCTCCCTTATCATATCTTTGTCACGAGGTAATGTTTGTATAGGATATCTAAATTGATTTCGTACCTATGAAAATGTTTATATTTACTTGCTACTATTTAAATTTCTTCTCGCTCGCCGTGTATTAGTAATACTTGTATGATTTATCAAAACTATCTTTAAAATCAAATCAATATTATCTATAAGTCAATTTAATTATCTACCTTGGGTATATTCAGTAAAGGGGATTAGTTGTTACTCAATCTAAATCATTTAATGAAACATTTGTGTTTGTATATTCATATCGTTTCCTTTTGCAATGGTGACTCCACGATTAAATCATACAATGGGATACTTTTGTTAAGGAAAAGCTTTAAAGCCTTTCTCTGTAAAATTTTCAAACGTTTTCTAGGTTTATGCCAGTTTGATAAGACTGAAACTTTAAAGAATGTGCAGAATTAAAACCCCCTACTCCGTTCGGCGTCGTTTTTATCGCTTGAATAGTTTAATGTACCAAACAAAATTTAAGATAAAACACTTAAAAAAGGAAATTATCAAAAAACGGGAAAATTGTATCACACAAAAGGTATTAATAAAATTGATTTTATAAACAAAATGAAAAAAAAAAATTAGGTAGTTAATATTATCATACACTGGAGTTGCATTTTATAGTCCTACAAATGCTTACAACTATATTGACAATTTAAGATTTATTCAATAAGACAGGATGATGATAACTAAATGTTTAATTAACTCTTTGCCTCTTGCGCTGTCTGTGACGTATTAGTATAGCAATATACATTTGTTACTTTTATATGTACCAAAAGATTACATGTAAACTGGAATAAAACTTTTAATTCTATGAACAAAACTTCTTTTTTCATCAGTTGTACGAGTTTGTATTAACTTAAATATGTTTTTTGTAATTTTACACATTCCTTTTGTTGGTTTCTGCACAGGCTTTTATCAAACATTTACATAAAAACAAAACAAAAACAACAACAACAACAACAACAAAAGACATTTATTGAATTTGATAAATCTTGAATCAAGACTCCCATCTCACACAAAATTGAGTGACTTCACATCACCAAACAAGTGAACCAGGCTTATTTAGTGTCAAAAGAAAGACCATCTTTGTCTCGCCTCCCAAGTTTCGTCAAATAAATCGAACGAGTCGGACTTATTAATTCTTATGTGCAAAATATATTAGCATGGAATTATAAAATTTATAATCTAATCATTTATCATCATGCCATCAAAATTTTACGCGTTATCAGAGCAGAAAACGTCAAACAGGAAATGTGCGTTAAAGTGTGTGATTGCGGGGCAAAGGTATATGCGTTAAAATGCGTTATTGCGTTGCAACGGTATTGTTTTTGTTCAATTTTCATCCGACTATAAGTTTCAAAAATATTCTCAACTATCGTCTCCATCATCTAGACGCATGCTTTTTCCAAATAGAGAATTGACAATCAAGACTACTCAATTCCATCGTTTACTTTATTTATTTCCCGGGTGACAATTGATGGTTTCATCAATGTTTTCTTGTTCCTTATATTTACTTGCATTTGATTCCGCCAATCCACGTTCTTCAAGCACAGCTTCTTGAATCTATTTCTCCCGCCCTGCACATGGCTTTTTTTAACCGCGCCTATAGTTAAACCAGTTCATTTTTTTAAGAAATTAAGCACATTAACTGTTTGTAATTTTATCTTGGACAAACTCATTGAAAATTTAAATATTTCATTATGTACTATTTTAAGAATACAAATATCGTCCAAGGTTGTCGATGTTTATAATTTATTCCAGCAACGCCGAAATTACAGGTTCATTATAATGAGTAAAACAATTATTTCTTGACAAGTCCGTGATGAAACAAAACAAAGAATTGTTTGTAAATACGAACTGCAAAATGATTTTCAGAAAATGTCTTTTTTAAGCAAAGTTGAATGACGTTTATTAAAGTTTGCAGTATATATATATATATGCATGGGTGTGACAATTAATTTATATCCATTGCCCAAAATGCAGGGAACTATCATTTTACTGTTAGCATTATCCCGTGTAAGTAACATATATTTTTTTAAATATTTTACTTAATAGTAAAATTTTCTTTTTACACATTTAATTCATTAATTGTGATTATCATCTTTATTCAATCAATTTTCTAGAGTTTACGTGGTATTCACTAAATTTAATATATAATCAATATTTTTTCAAATAAAAATTAAGTTTCTGATATATTAAACAAATCGATAATAAACTAGAGGTACTTTGAGCAATGAGCTCAATTAATGATACCTCCGCCTCCAACAATGTCCATGTTTTGCTATATATTGTTTTACGGTACAATGTAGCGAGGAATAACTCATCATATTTGATGTTATTCAGAAGCCGCAATATCTAACGTCCTTGGTAAGTATATAATGACAAAGTCTATGTATTGCTATGGGAAACCTAAAATAATTGTCGGATCAAAGAGTAAAATATGAGGTGCACAATGGCAATATGTAATTGAGATTCGGTAAAAATTTCATTAAATTTCACTTAGTGGTACAAGAAGAGTTACGGATAAGAGATAAGTACCCAGAAGCGTAAGAGACAGGCAGACAGACGGACATACCGATTACTATACATGTATACCCTCTAACTTTTCAAGGGGGTGTATAACAATAAGGAAATAAGAATAAACTCCCGCTATAAAAAAAAAACTTCAATTAGAGAGGCATTACTGATCCAGTTTTAAGTGAACCGCATACGAAATTCTTACAAATAGAAATTAACTTCTTATAATTACCCTTTTAATAGACTTACATAAACCATACTTCTATCTTGGTGACATTTTCATATATGATTTAGCATATCATGATCCTAGCTTGCATACTTTTTCACTTTTTTACAGGCTGTAGCACACTATGGTCCTAGCTTTGTGTCTATAAATCAGTATGATTAACATTTGGTCACCTGTTTCTTACAGGCTCTAGCACAGCATGATCGACGTCAATACCAACCAGAGAAGCCGGGGAGGTGCCCCTTCACTAGAAAAACTGATTGTGTATGTGCTCCGTCCGATATATTGTGTGACAGCGACAGTGACTGTAGGGGAGGTAGGACAAATGTTTAGGATTGATTGTATGTAGTTTAACGTCCATTTCGTGAATTAATCACCCATGATGTAATACATAATTAATAATATAGAGAATTCAGAGTACAAATAATCGATTGGTTTTTGAATCTGAATTATCTTGTTTATGTTCCTATATTTTTGTTTTTTTTTTCTGATTAATACACAACAAAATAGCCACTTCTCTGAAGTATATTTGATATTTTTATTTCTTTGTTTCGTCATATCATTATGTGACAATGAGACATGTTTTCCACGATGCATTTTGTTTTTATTAGCATTTTACACTTACAAACTGAAACATTGGGAGTATAGTCTTTGTATGTTTTTGAGAAACCTTTTAGAGAAATATTTGTTTCTGGTTTGTTTCTTCTAGTGCCATTTCAATCGAAACGAAGTTGACTAATACCTTTTAAATATATTTTTTCATTTTTAGAACAGAAGTGTTGCTCCTTCGGCTGTGGGTGTAGAAGATGCATTGATCCTATTAAAAAACCGACAGGTATATCACTATAGTTATACTCAGTTATAACAATAGGTATCTCACTACAGTAAAACTCGGTTATAACAAAGTCACTATGAAAGGAATCTCGCTACAGTAAAACTTATAACGAAGTCACTGAGATAGGATCTCACTACAGGAAAACTTGGTTATTACGAAGTCACTGAGATCGCAGTTATGATAAGGCTGTCCAAAGGCTCAAAATGCCTTAAAATTATACAATTTTTTTAAGCATTTCAATATGTGATCCTTGTTTGAAATTGCAGTCAACTTGAGACAAGAGTTTAATCAGGTATTGTAAACAAAGCAATTATTTGATGCCACATTACTGTGTTAATCACGTGACGGACATTTATGATATTCAAAAATTCAAACTTTTTTAGCAAAGTTTGTTACATATATCAATTCATCGTAATCTCTGGTACATATAAAGTATGTTGGCAGGCTTAATTTTTACTTCTTTAGAAAATATTTTACGAGAAATTCAACTTACTAACATAAGAAGGGGTATTTTCCCCTACTTATAGCGATTTATACAAAAATGGATAAACTACATACCATCCCCCGGCAAAACTCAGTAAGAGGACATACTTCTCTCTTCTAGATTCACGCAGAATATCTTCAATTTATCCTTGTCTTTCACTTGTGCCAGTCAATTATAAACACGATTCATAAAATTCTAACTTTGTCTACGGACGTGTAAGGGGAGTGTTTCACATACAATTTTTCGCTATTTTTTGAATATGTGCATACTGGACAAGCAAAAGTAAAAGGGATATCTATATTTCAAATGTTCAACAACGTAACAGCACATGTAGCATAAAAACAATCCCAACACTTGAATTGAACAACAACAACCCAAAAAATAAACATGCCAGGTGTAAAAATCATGACACTTTCCCCGTCATGTAAACTCAAGCAGTGACTTGACGTCATATTCTATTATGACGCCATATCTAGGTAGTTCAGAGAAGTAACTTCAGTTTGAACAGTTTGATGTTTTACGGACAGCCTTATTCTAGTCGCGATAAGTATCTTACTACAGTTAATCTCAGTTATAACGAAGTCACTGAGATAGGTATCACTCTAAAGTTAATCCCAGTTATAACGATGTCACTGAGATAGGTATCTCACTACAGTTTATTTCAGTTATAATGAAGTCACTGAGGTATCTCACTACAGTTTATTTCAGTTATAACGAAGTCACTTGGATAAATATAACAGTTACACTGAAAGTAAGTAAAACTCGGTTATAACTATAGGTAACACACTAAAATACATAAATAAATAATACATACATAACACAAAAATATAACAGTTACACTACAGTAAAATAGGAATCACACTACAGTATAACTCTTATTACGAAGTCACTGGAACCTCTGAAATAACTTATCTACAGTTCAACACACTTTTTAAGCACACATGGTTTTTCGCACAGATTAAGGTTATATTGTTATAATATAATATTGTGTATTGAGACAACAAAATACATTTTAAAAGTATTTGTTTATATATAATCCTTTGAGGAAGAAAAATAATTTTCCAATTTCAAATGTTTATTTGTTTAAAAAATTTACTGGTTTAGAAACATTTTGCATATATTACAAATACACAAAACAATTGTAGCACCTTAAAAGTATTTGTTTATATATATTAAAACATTTCATACAAATCAAATTGTAGCACTTTGATATATTCTTGGCTAAAAAATAACAACTATTTCCATTTTATTTTTTGTGGTTTCTTGCCAGTTGCATCTGTCTTAAGCTTTTTGTTGTTCTTTTGAAAGCAGTGGTTCTCTCCAGAAACATAGACACAGACATAGTAGAGCTACTGTAACTTGACTCTTTAGCGCAAGGTGATAATAGTATTTTTCATCTGTTTGACTGCTTTGTATGTTAATACACCTTCTAAAATGTAGAATCATGAAAGATTCACCTAACAGCACAATTCAAACGTTTCAATCCGAAAATGCAGAAGATTTTTTTTTTCATTGGGAAGATTTACTATTTAAAAAATAAACAATACTTCATTATCCTACTTTTTTGGTATGGCGTCTTTCTGTATCTGTTATCCCTTTTCGATGCTGCATTTCGACAAAACCAAGATGAGTATGGTAAATGAGCAAAAAATTTTAAAAAAAAGTACTCACCTTTAAGAAGAAAGTTTAAAATTTTCAATTACATTGTATCAAAGAAAGCACGTTTTATTAAATTAAAAAAAAACCTATGGTAGACGCCTAAAGTAGAAACATCGTACCATTTATAAATAAATCCCCTCTGAAACATCTACTTTGGAAACTTAAGATAATAATTGTAAAGGACAATTATGCTTGACATATGCATTATATAAGTAATATAATGTAGGGCTATGTCATCATTCTGATGTTCGAAAATAGTAGTTTTTATAAAAATGTGACCTTAATTTGTGCGAAAAACCATGTGAGCTATAGAAGTGCGTTGAGCTGAATATCCATAACTCGTTATATCTACATTAATATAAGTAATTAAGAAATTTGAAAAATTGATATAGGTTGGGATCAAAGATAACTCCCTTATATCCGTTAATTCGCAATGTCCATGGTCGTATTAAACTAATTTTTACTGTACATTTATTGTTTGTTGCTTAAGACCCTTCTCGAAAATTTGTCACTACCATTTGCCAATGGAGAAGTATAAATTTTGTCCTCTGCTCAGCTCTTAGGGCCATTGAGCAAAGCACACGTGCTAGCACATTCTGCGACACAAGATCTTATAGTGTCTCATCCTCAGGGCCACTGGTGGCGTCTCCATATAAGTGAAACATTTTCAAGAGGGACGTTAAACAATATATGCAATCAAACCGTCCTAAGTCCTTGTCTAGTCCTGACATACATTCCATACCAGAAATAGTGATTTGATTATCTCTATTTTTGTAGTATGTATTCAGAAAGGTAGAGAGTACAAAGTCGGAATGCTGGTTCCTGGTGGTGAAAAATGTAGCGAGTGTGCATGTAATTCAGACGGTATCATCAGATGTTCTTTACCAATTTGCACAGGACGTAAGTAGCATTTATTGAACCTTAGTAGAAAGTCATATTAACCTATCACGTTTGATGGATTGCGTATTGTTAAATGTCCCTATGGAGGGTCTAACCACTGCGTCTCAAGACAAGACAATCTTTATAAAAATGTTTAGTTGACCAGGACACATATATTTGTTTCTTTCTTATCCTCCTATCCCGTCAACAGATACTGTGGAATCAAAGTTGTTGCATAATGCTCAGGTGATCTATACTCTTGTTAAAATATATATTTCTAATTAGGACCATTCGTTATCATAATAAGTAGATCAAATTGAATGTATTAAGATAAAAGTAAATCTAATGAAGGTAAAAATCAATTAGTAGCTTGCAATTAATGAACATGGTGTTTCTTCAGGATCTCTAGTATTTATGTTGGAAATAGGCACCTTCTTTACATTCAAACTTACTTTTTTTTTAATTTTAATGATTTGACATTTATTTATGTACGATGTGTGCGATTTTGGATTCAATGCTCAAACCATCACACTTTACAAAGGACTGTTCTTTCAAAAAAAAAAAAAACGTGTTGATAAAAAAAATACAGCCTTTTCTTCTAAATGAAATAATATGGTAAAAATTATTTTGAAACACTTTGCATTTTTTTGTAGATTCTCGGGAAATCTGTTCCCAACCAAAGGTCGCTGGTCCTTGTAAGGATTTAGTTAGACGTTGGTGGTTCAACGAAGACACGTTTTGCTGTGAACCATTTTATTATGGCGGATGTGAAGGAAACGAAAACAACTTCAAGTCGAACGAGGAGTGTAGATCCCGGTGTGGCTGGGTGCGATTGGGGTAGATGTAACAGGACAGAGAGTGTGTTTTGTAAGACTTCTGTCATTTATTTGTTACAATATGTAAAAGCATATGATTTTTTGGTATCTTACTACAACGTGATGTAATTAAAAAAAATAACCTTACTCTAGAATCATTTTATTTTTCAGGGATTTTTGTTCACGACAAAATAACTCAAAAAATACTGTATATAGGGTATTTTCGCCATGTCTTTTTTCGCCCTTTCACACTTACAAATAATTTTGCCCCGTTTTAAATTCGCCCAGTCATAGTTTTGTTTTTAAAAAAATTATACTATTTCTTTGAATTCGCCCCGTTTAAATTCGACCAAATGAGGTCAGGGAGAAAAGTGCGAAAATAAAACGGTGGCGAAAATTTTCCTGTATACAGTAGTTCTTAATCATGAACATTCCCTGAGCATGACCTTACAAGCAATTATAAGTTGACAAAAACTGATGGACTGTGAACCATCTATAAAACGTTGGCTTATTGTTGAAAATCTCCAAAAAAATTCTTTTTTTTTAAATATTCTGATCAATTTGTGTTTGAGAACACAAATTAATACCTACCGTTTTCTCTTCTCTTGAATACTTTCCCTGGAACTGTGCCTAAGAATAAGATTGATTTATTTAGAAATTATTTAGAATTTTACAGCATTTTATTTAAAAATAAGGAGCAAAAGTCTCGAAAGCAATTTCATAAAGGGGGAGGGGGTCACAGCAACAAACAGAAGTAAACCCATATTTTTCATCCCAATGTCTTTCTTTACAAAAAACTGTGAGCCTTGTCTCCCAGTTCGTAAGCTTATGTAAATTATTTCAGAAAGAAGAATAAACGGTCGCTGGCAAACTGGTGATCACAAAAGCTTACTTAGCAATCAATCAGCTCGTGTTAACTGTATGAAGAGTGTTATTATTTAAACACTAGTTTCGATATAGGAACTCTTATTTTAAAGGCGCGAAAAACACTTCAGTTAACGCGAGGGTTGGACACATGGTCAAGGATAAAGACATGTCGTTAAACATAGATTTAATGCCGAAACCCTAGCTTCTAATTTTTTATTGAATGGGTAATGGATGTAAATTATTATAATGTATCCCAACTTTGGAATTTCGCTAAACAGCTGTAGATGAAAATTTTCCCGTTTTGAAGACGCTCGAGACATTCTGCTTCAGATAATTTGAGTAATTATTGACGAGCATCTCGACACATAACGAAGGTAAACTGGTATAACGATGTACACATTTTCGATTATGTTACCAATGTAAACTGTCGCACTTTCCGGTTTATGCGGATACAAAACTCGCCTCCGCGAAGAAAGAGCGCATCAATGGAAGTAAGTTCGATATTAAAATACTGCAATTTCTTTTTTTTTAGGTTGTCCCCCTCATAATTAGATTGTGCAGGTCTCAACGCAGATCCTACTACTGGTATTGAATACAGGATACCAATGCTTTATAACTTCAATCTTTACAAATTCGTATGTACATATGTAAAATATATTATTTGATTAATGAAAATATACAAAAATACATAAGACAAAACTGCAAAAATATTAGGACCATGCCTTTTCCTCCTATATATTGTAAGATTTGTTTTTATTGAAATAAAATGTAAATTGATATAAATTTTGTTGTCTTGTTCTTTACTTCCAATGCAACATTTAATAAAATAAAAAAATATATATATATATATATATATATATATATATATATATATATATATATATATATATATATATATATATATATATATATATATATATATATATATATATATATATATATATATATATATATATATATATATATATATATATATATATATTTTTCCCAAAATTTTCATTCACTTTAGGATTGACTTTAATTCGTGGCTAAATTATTCTAAAATATTCTTACTTGGGTCAGTTTACGCTTTTTATGATCCCTTTTGCTTTGCGGATTATAAAGTGTAAATTGACAGAAACCCAGCTATACTTGAACAATTTGGTCAAAATATAGAGTCATTCCATAATATCTAATTTTAAAATAATTAAACAAATGTGGTTGTAAAATTCCATCCCTTTTATTAGTTCATATTTTCCGCCAAATAATACAATCATTTTAATGGAAATTATGGTAAGTGAGAGGAGATAAAACTTGTACAGCCATGTTGTTTGTTTATATTGGGTAAGATCGAGTAACTCTTTGATTGATTGTATATTGTTTAACATCCATCTCGAGAATTTTTCACTCATATGGAGACGCCACAATTTTTTCTTGTTTTTGACATCCAGGGTTATTGCGCTGGGAGAGATAATTTTGTGTCAGCACCTTCTGCGACACGGGACCTCGGGTTATACGGTCTCCAAATCCAACAGTTGGGTTCGAATCCGCGACTTAAGGATCAACCCCCTACATAGCGACTCTAGAGCAGGCGCTGTAGCCACAAGTAAAAGTTTTGTTTATTAAAGTCCAAGGATTGTAAACAAGAGGATTGATTTGATACAGATTATTCAGCTGGCTGTCAGTGGGCGAGTCCCCATTACAAACTAGGTTGTAAACATCAAATTAAATACTTTTAAATGCAGCAAAACTCGGTAAGTACGAACACGGATATTGCGAAAACTAGGAACATCGTTTTGAGAAAAAAAAACGTTAACATTGTCGCCTATGGGAAAACAATTAGTCTACTGTACCCATTTAGTATTTTTTGTTCGGCTTCCTCGACACTTAATTACGAATTGGGGAGCGAGGGATCTTAAATTTATTATGCAAACGTCTACGTGACACAGGGTCACGTCTATAAAGTATACAGGCGCGTAGCATCGTTTTTGAAAGGGGGGCTAGATTATTTTTTACTTACCTTGATGACAACAACAACAAAAAAACCATTGCCGTACCTCGAAAATCTTATTTCGGAGGGGGGAGGGGGGTTCAGTGCCAACTTATTTCAGTTCCAATGTTTTTCCATGCAATACTACATTTCCCTTTTATTACTCTACCATAGTATAACTTGGGGTGGGGGTGGTGGGTGGTGGGTTGACATGCCTTTCAAATAACATTTACAATGGCAACAGTAATATTGGGGGAAAAGTGCGTGGGCCTGTTGCTACGTGCCTGGGTATAGACTTCGAATGAACATACAAATCATTTAACTTTCAAAAAAAAACTTCAAGTCCTGTTATAAAAGGATTGTTGTTACTTAGAACTTATCTTGACTACAAATTCTCCTTGGAATAAAACAAAAATTCCTTAGTGAAAGGGAGTCGAAAAAACCCCTAATGTGTATTTAAGAAGAAGTATGTTATTCTAAAAAAATAACATTTTGAACAGTTTTAATCGATGACTATTTTCAGAGACTTTAAATTAATTTTTTTTTTTTCATTTTAAACATTCATTTAGAGACTAGCAACTGATTTATCAAATTTTTCAATCCTCAAGGGGGTTTCCGGGAAATTATGAACTGAACTATGAAATAATGCTTATGTTTCAAAAATGACAAATTTACATGTAACATCTGATATATAAAATATACCTGTCAGCTACAAAAGATCCATTTTATAATCAACCTGTTTCATTTATCAGCCTTTCAATCCATTATGAAGATCAATAAACTCGCTTGAATTTAGTTTTGTGATTATGACTAAAATATGGGAAGAAATGGGTTATAGGTCCGTTAAAGGGTGGAGATGGAAGAACAATATACATGTTGGTTTAAGTATGAGTCTAGACTAACGGAGTGTAAGGGTTTTAGGTGATTGTCCAATGCTGGAAAGTGGAAAAGCTATCACGAAAAAGTGCGCCATAAATCGCATGTTTTTTGCATTACACGATCTTTAGCAAAAAGGACAAATATATATAAAACCAAACCGCTAGAGGTCTGAAGCTCCCTGATACTAATTAAATATGTGGAAATAAAAAAAAAACAGTATTCAAGCTCAAAAGTGCATAAAACAATACAAGGAGCAGAGCAAACCCGGACCACAGAAACATCAGATGTGGGATCAGGTGCCATGGAGGAGAGTAAACTTCTGCTCCCCTGAAAAAAGATTAAATGGGGAAAGTTTCCAAAATGTCATTAACTAAGCAATTAAAGAATGAGAAGCTATGTCAGCAGAGACAAAAAAACAAAAAAGAACCTGGAGAAAACAATCTGTGGAGTCTGATAATTTTTTTATCAAACGTCCTAAGAAATATTGGCAGATGACTAGCGTTAAAAAAAGATTTCGGCGGTCGTAATTATAAAGGCTGCATTTAGCAATCAATCACGTGTCGAAAGTGCCGCAGGACGAATTAAAGCCGTCACCTGTCACTGTTCCTGGAACTCAATGTAAAAAAAAATCAATTATGTTGTTTTTGTTTCGGGGAAAATAAATTATTTTGCAGATTGAAGGACGTTAATAATGCCCCAAAAACTTTATAAATACACATTTAACCAGCCTGACACAATTGTAAAAAGTATCGGACAAAATGCAGGGAACGATTTTTATCCTGCTTTTTTCGGCCTGTGTAAGTCTTTATTTCTTTAAGTTTTATTCATGTTTTTGCATAAACGATAGAATATTAGAAAAATTAATATTTTTAATTTTTTTCACTTTGTGGGGGTGGGGGTGGTTTACCTTTTGACATTTCAATTTTGCTTTGTAAAAAAAATTATTCCAATCGTCCTGTTTCTCCTTTTTAGTATCTTCTTTTAATGTATTCACGGTCAGTGTTTTTTGAAAACGTTAACATTTATTTTCTTTTATGCTTTTTATTAGCAAAACTGTTGAGCATGCACAAGCTTCAAAATTCCATGTAAAATTATCACAACCTTAGTAAAAATATAATTTACTACATGTATGAAATAATCAAATTCAAGTATCTAAACTCTTCAAATTAAAAAAAGAAACGTATAGGAGGAACAATACCCTGAAAAATGTATGATAGTTTTGTCTTCCCTTTTTTTGTATGGATACGATGTATTTGAGTGAAATGCTTGGACGTTGCGCACGGTGTTGTTGTCAGTTTTGGTAACGTCAAAATGACGCTATTTTACGTAAAGTTCTAGAAAAATTTGTCGACATTACTTTTTTGCTTACATCTTTTATGGAGAAAAAATAAACAGGTAAGGACTTGTAATTTTTGTAGTATAGAGTGATTTCAAGATCACATGGTCAAAAAATTGGGGGTACAGAAAATTACTCTTCAGGTAAACGAATGATGCATTTCCTGTCAGTAATGGAGGGGGGGGTGTGGGAGGGAGGGCAAGGAATGTTGTAGATTCAGAGAGTTTATCCATAACTGCTCTGAAGAGTTTTGAATTGTGAAGGGGGTATTGGAAAGGTTTATATCTATGATTGATAGGAAAGTTTTGTTGTATGGAGAGAGATCAAAGATCTTTATGTTGAGAGAGAGAGAGAGAGAGAGAGAGAGAGAGAGAGATGGTTTATCCTTGATAAAGTTGATTGTTGTGGGAAGTTTTTGAATGGTGCATTTCAACATGTCTACCTTAATTAAGTTCCCAATGCTGGTGATATGTATAGGGGCTCATTGTTTGAGCAGACCTAGTAGTTATGTGTAATTAACTCTGACAGATGTGATGCTAGAGAAGAACAGGCATTCAGATTTATAGGTTTATATATCCATAACCTACTGAGGAGTGGATCCAAGTTTTTCTTTTTTGGGGGATAAAACACTAGTTCCTTTTGGGGAAAAGATAAAGCTTGAAAATACACATAATTACCTCTGAAAACTTAAAAATGTCTATTCTCATTAAGTAAACTGAAAGAAAAAGATCACAAAAGTTGATAAAAATGACACCGCAGCATAGACATGGTTAAATGTTTTAAGTTCGTGACCTCACCCTGCATTGAAGATTTCCATGTGGTAAAAATAGAATTCTCTAAATCAATACTTCTTTTCATAAAGTGAAAATGAAAGTAAAGGTGATATATAGGGGATTTCCATAAACCATGATGAAGGCACCTGTAGGTAAAGAGGTAGGGAAATAGTACATGATTCTCCTAATTTAAGCTATACTTACTTACATGCACATGCATAAAAAACATTTTTGAAATTTATGAATATGAAGATTTTTTTCTACTGAAAAAGTATAATGCCATATTATCTTTTGCACCTCCAATCTCATTGTTACCTTGTTCTTACACAGAGAAGGGGGAGGGGGTTGATTAAACTTGTTGGTACATATTTTACTTGTGGATTATGTTTTAAAACATATGTTAGCACATGTATATTTCACAATTTAAAAGATATCGCACGGGGTATACACTGTTTATCTTATCTTGTCTAGCTTGATATATGAATGAAGCTCAGCTAGCCTCACTCTGTGTATCTGGTATAGCAATAATAAAATGTGTTCTATAAAGATAACAGCGGTCTTAAGATATTAGATATTAATAAAACATAATGTTTAGATAATTATTGAATATACTATGTAAATCTTATAAAAGGGAGGTCAGGTCATCGTTGAGGAATATACCATGTGTTTATCAAGGGGTGATCAGGATGATCTTTGTAGATTCTGACAAGGACACACACTGGAAGAGGGCATGTCAGTATTATCTAGGTAATGATCTAGGTAATGGCCGAATGTAATGTAATATAATGATGGTGTGCAGCTTACAGGACACTTCAATGTAATCTTACACAATCATAGATATTCACGGTCATTGTAAGGTCACCGGGGCCTTTAGAATGGGTTAAAAAATCTTTTGGATGTAAAACTGAGCAGCTCTTCAATCTTTCATCAAGAGAGTAAGAAATGGTTTTGGGGTTTAAATAGCAATATAGGCAGTATTGCTCTTTATAAACAAATTTATAGATAACACCACACAGCATGAACATGATGAATAGGGCCAAACTAAATGACAAAATATTGAACCTGATGTTATGAAGAGGAGATTTATATGCCCTGTCCTGTATTAATGAGTTGTTATATAACTACTCCTGTATCTTCTACACAAGGACACTTTATGTTCCACACCAGCCCATAGGACAAACTCTGTATAACACTGTCTTATTGCAGTGCTTAGTTTAGGTTTATAAGAAAGAGTTGACTGAGGTCTTTCTATAAAACGATCTTCTTCTTTTCAAATTATAATCGTTTAATTTAATGCAAGCCAAATTTTTGAAAATATTTTACATTTAGTTCATGACAATGGAAGTGTTAAGTCTAAGATTTGAAATAGCAGATGGCATTAAAATGTAGAATTGGGTCTGGGGGGTCCCTACCCCCCTTACAAGGCATTGGAGGACTGATGAATGGCAGAATAACGGGGGCATTATTATAAGCAGGGGGGGAGTTCTCAGCCCTGATTCTTATATTGGGACAACCAAGAAATGGGACCAGTGTTTACAGTATGTACTGTTCAAAAACGCATCCAAAAATTTTGTTTTATCTGTTCTATGGATGCCTGATAAGACTGAGAGCAAAAAGGTAGGGGATGTTTAGGATTTCTTATTGTAAATATGGACTAGATGTATAATGAAGAAAATCATAATATATATATATATGCAAAGCTGCAGATAAATGTTTTCTGAAATAATGCTGTTGCAATTGGTAATACATGCTGATAGACTTTAACCTTGTATTCAACTTCACAATTTACCACCCAAATTACACATAATGGCTCCACTTATAAGACAATTAATGGTGTATATATATATATATATATATATATATATATATATATATATATATATATATATATATATATATATATATATATATATATATATAATAACATAATGACAAGTAAAATCTGGCGACAAAACGCAGATGAAGCAGTTTTTGTTTGTCCGTAATTGTTAGCTGGTTCCCGTACGTGAAATGTCACTGCGAGTGTTGACATTTAGACGATGGCAGTCAGACACTGGTCCCTGGGAACATGAATGGTACTCACTGGAAGTTATAATGGAATTCTAGAACCATTTGATGGCCATATTGAAAGTGGTTTATCTTTTATTATCATGAATAAAATATTTGTCTTTGGCTCTCTATGGGATATTGTTTGAAAGTAGCTTGTGATCTTTGTTCTTTTATTATTATCTTGCAAATTGTCTCTCATTTGTGATACCATAGAAAAGTTTTTTTTTTTTCGTATGTGTAGGCATGATAAAGTAAAAAGATATTTCTATTATGAGGATAATTTTAATGCACTTGTAAGCTTCTAACCCTTTATGTTGTGAAGACTATATTCGTCTTACTTCATCTTGGGAAAACTGACAATTTTTTTGCCATGTCAAGTTTGTAGTGTTATAATTTTTAAAGCTGTCTGCATTCCGTTTCACCTTTTCATAGTATTTACAATGTCTACTTGTCCATTTCTGTACTAATCTTAACTTTTCAAAGTGAAAAAATGCCCCCTTAATTCCCCCTTAATACCCCCTTCCTACAAGTTTGTAACATATTTTAATAGATTCAGTCAGGGTGGGGGTTAAATATGATCAAATTTCTACAGGAAGAGAAAAAAATTTTAATTTATTTTTAAAGCTAAATACCCGGTAGAGTCTAGGTTTAAATTGTCATACTCAGCTAGATATCACTTAGTGAACACTTACAAAATTTTAAAAGAAAACAATTTAGAGTCTGCTAAGTATAAGATTACTCATGTTCCATAAAAAAACATTCAAAACAAGACTGGAGAGCTCCTCTAGATAGAAGTACATGTAAGTATGGTAAGTGGGCCGTTCTGTGATGACCACTTACTGCTGAAGTGTCTCTCGGGATTTATCCTTTAATTTTCAATATGTCTATTTTCAATGACTACACATATGATCAATGTTACCACATTTATACGATTATAGTCAGATTTATTACTTTTGGACAATGCGTGACATTTATGTTGACTTTGTAAAAAGCCTTAAAAACAAACACTTCATTATAGAATCAATTCATTTTCATATCTATATAAAGTTTTTATTTTGCACATTTTGTATTTAACTTTATTTGGTGCCAAATTAAAAAAAATGAATTCTTAAAATGTAGGCCATTGCTGGAGTGTAACATTTAAACGTGACCCTTTTGCCGTTTAATTCAATTGTGACGTATAGCTACATGTAGTACATATATGTAATACGGCAATTATTATTATTAAAATTTAAGGTACCGCAAGTTAAAATTCTGTCTAGAGATCTTTTCCTTAATAACATGGCAACATTTTGTAGAATTTAAAATAATTTTCAACATCAATTTTTCATCCAGCATTACAAAATTTGCCATATGACAAAGTTTAAAAACTTTGCGACATTGAACCTCAAACTTTGTGACATACCATCTTAGTCAATGTCCCCACAATAAATCGGCTTAATATCAGAAACCCAACCTACATATCGACATAAAATATCAGTCTAATTTAAAATATAGTTCCTTGCACACAAAAAGGATCGTTGACATGCCATTTCAAAATTGATTTTGCTCATGAAATTATTTTTTTAAGTTACCGATGACATTTCATGTTCCTTCCATATTTCTTCGGATAATGCTTATCTACATCGCTGTCTTGCATTTTGAACAACGCTTTCACATCATTCGGATTGAACAACATCACAATTGTAAAACTTTACATCATTTACATCATTTTTTGAACTTTTCTGCTAAATTTTATGCTTGTATTGTTTGTTTTATGGAAATTATCAACATTTTCTCATTGCGTGTGCGACGCTCCTGTTGCCGATCTACATGCGTTTTTAGCTCTACTGGTCAGAGACCAGAAGAGCTTATGCGATAGTAATGCGTCCGGCGTCCGTTCGTCTGTCCGTCTGTCTGTCTGTAAACAATTTTTCAAAATGCTACTCCTTCTACAGTTTTGATCTGATTTCAATATAACTTGGCATATAAGTAGACTACACTAATAAACATAAATCTGTGTATCGGTTTTGGATTTCGACGAACGGTGTTGGCGTTGTTACTAAAAATAGAAATTTCTGTGAATTTTTTTTCAAAATGCTACTCCTCCTACAGTTTTGGTCTGATTTCAATATAACTTGGCACACAAGTAGACTACACTGAGACATAATTCTGTGTATCGGTTTTTGATTACAACGAACGGTGTTGGCGTTGTTACTAAAAATAGAAATTTCTGTGAAATTCTTTCAAAATGCTACTCCTCCTACAGTTTTGATCTGATTTCAATATAACTTGGCACACAAGTAGACTACACTAAGATACATAATTCTGTATATCGGTTTTTGATTTCGACGAACGGTGTTGGCGTTCTTACTAAAAATAGAAATTTCTGTGAAATTCTTTCAAAATGCTAATCCTCCTACAAATTTGGTCTGATTTCAATATAACTTGGCACAAAAGTAGACTACACTATGATACATAATTCTGTGTATCGGTTTTTGATTTCGACGAACAGTGTTGGCGTTGCTACTAAAAATAGAAATTTCTGTGAAATTCTTTCAAAATGCTACTCCTCCTACAAATTTGGTCTGATTTCAATATAACTTGGCACACAAGTAGACTACACTAAGATACATAATTCTGTATATAGGTTTTTGATTTCGACGAACGGTGTTGGCGTTGTTACTAAAAATAGAAATTTGTGAAATTCTCTCAAAAAGCTACTTCAAATACAGTTTTGGTCTGATTCTATTATAACTTGGCACACAAGTAGACTACACTTAGGTACATAATTCTGTGTTTAGATTTTTAATTTCGACAAACGGTAATTCTTTATATCCCTTTTTGACTTCAATGAACATTATTACCTTGGTTAGTAAAAATAGCAATTTCTGTTACTCTCAAAATGCTACTTCAAATACAGTTTTAGTCTGATTATAATATAATGTGGCATGCAAGTAGACTACACTAAGAACATAAAGAGAATTATTCAAGGATCATTATTCTATTTATTGCTGTTGCAAAGTTTCAATTCCCAACTGCTTAAGTTCTTTCCTCTTCCTTTGCTATAAGTACAAACCAGTAGAGCTTTAGTCTCGTCAGAGACTTCTGGTTGACGTAATTGATTGGATAGTCGAATTAATATATTTGATAAATGGAATTTTTTAATCAATATTTTTGTTTAAATGTATTTAGTATACAATTACCGACCGAATGATATATAGTTTCCATATAGTGAATTGTTTTAAAATTTTGGACATAGCGCAAATGCCGCCGCAATAGTAATTTTCGACATTTTGATACCAACACCGTGCCCGACGTAATGATTTTTAATGCAATAGTTAACTTTACAGCTATTCTACAAGTCTCACAGACAAAAAGACCTGATTTTGCAAAATTTCCCCCAAAAATTTGATCTCAATTTTCATTTGTTGAATTCCGATGCAATTCCTTCAGGTGCAAAGGGGCTATCAAAAGCGGGGGTTCTCGATATTTTGAAACTGGTTTTATCTGAAAAATGACTCTTCTTAAAAATGCTGCATCTGAATGTTGCGTTGTACAAAAAGGAAAATGGGCGACTGGAAGCAGGGGTACCGCAATCTACCATTGCAAGAGGTTTTAATGTTACACACAGAACATATCTAACCTATAAAACATAAACCATTAACACCGAACACCCAATGTTCGCAAAAAATATGGTAGACTACGTGTGACATCAGCAGCACAGCATCACTTCCGAGGATTACGTAAATTGCATGAACGCAATGCAAGGACGTCATCTAAAGCATAAGCTATCCCTGAACTGCACAGATTATCTAACAAGACCGTTTTCAAATGACTACGAATTATTGCAAGAGGATTATGCATGCCATTGTTCCTACCCCAAAAGACCCTAAATATCGACTTCAAAGATCTCAAATCAATAGAGTATGACCATAGTATCACTGCTGAACATTTTGGTTAACCTACTAGTGCACAAGGTTTATCTGAAAGCCTCCTATAAGTTAAAGAGTGTTAATGCTTTGTAATGAATGTTAGACAGATAACTGCCTCCAGGACGTTAAAAAAAGTTGGTGGTGGTAGTGTAATGATATGGAAAATGGTATTATAAGAAAGTTAGATTGATTTGGTTCGAATTAAATGGACTTTGATGGAAAAAGGTACTCTAACCATGTTCTACCTACACGTACTCTTTCAAATTTGCAGCATCTTAGAGCCGTATCGCAATCTCGCAATACACAGCCACATATGGCTCGTTTGACACACCTATTCTTGCAAAGAAACAAAAACCTGTTTCAGCCATAGTCATGTAAAGCGCTAGATTTAATCCAAATTAAGCAGCATTGGACAAAATGGATTGACATGATTTGGCAAAGACAATCGCATCCCCAGACTCTGCAACACCTGACCAAAGTTCTACATTTGAAGTGGGAGAGTATTCCTATACAGTTTTTATTACACACATTTGCTTCCATTTGATGCCGTTTGTGGCTATCATTTGTGTCTAACGGGGGGCATATCATATATTGATCTTTAATGGTCTTAAACAGACTATAATTTTAAAATTGTTGAGTAATTATGACATTTAGATAGTATTCCTGTTGCTTACCACATTTCTGTTTTATCAATGCTTCACTTTACTAAATAATCTTTATGTTTAACGTGACACTTAAATTCTACTATGCGTTTCTTTTTTTTTGAAGAGTATATTTTAAAAAAAAACGTTAGGGAACAATTTGACAACGGACTTAACATTTAATAGAAAATTATTTATCAAACTATTAATAATTTACCATCGAAAATTCTTTGTAAAATGTATTAAAATAAATAAATACATACACTGTAAACAACAATTTATTCATTTATTAACAAACAATTAACAATTTTATCTTCTCGACTAGTCAACGCCAATAACTAAAAAAAAACTGGAAATAACACAGAAATAGATTATAAACGTATGATTATTTACATTTTTGTAATCTTTCACAGGCCTTGGCACAGATTAGACCACCGCCTCCGATTAATCCGCTTTCTGGAAAAAAACGGGGGACGTGTCCACTGTCTCGGCTAAACACCACATGTGAATGTAATGAAGCTGATAGGCGGTGTAAATGGGACAAAGAATGTCCAGGAGGTAGGGTAGTGTAACGAAACTAAGAATAATACTGTGTAAAGAGGACAACCAGTGTTGATCTGCTGTTTATATGCGCTGTAATGACTAAGCCACCTAGACAATTCTTAACAGTTTTTTTTTTTTTATTATTTTCTACTTTTGCTTTTTTTTGTATAGTAGTGTTGTACCTATGTTTATTTCTCCTGTTATTTGTTTTAGTATAGTTGTGTTGTACCTTTCTTAATTTCTCCTTTTGATTGTTGTAGTACAGTAGTATTGTACCTATGTTAATTTCTCCTGTTGATTATTTATTACAGTAGTGTTTCAGTACAGTAGTGTTGTGCCTTTGTTAATTTCTCCTTTTGATTGTCTTTAGTACAGAAGTGGTGTATCTATTTTAATTTCTCCTGTTGATTGTTTTAGTACAGAAATGTTGTACCGTTGTTAATTTCTCCTTTTGATTGTTTTAGTAAAGAAGTGTTGTACCTTTGTTAATTTCTCCTTTTGCTTGTTTCAGTACAGTAGTGTTGTACCTTTGTTAATTTCTCTTTTTAATTGTCTGTAGTACAGAAGTGGTGTATCTATTTTAATTTCTCCTTTTGATTGTTTTGATACAGAAGTGTTGTACCGTTGTTAATTTCTCCTTTTGATTGTTTTAGTACAGAAGTGTTGTACCTTTGTTAATTTCTCCTTTTGCTTGTTTTAGTACAGTAGTGTTGTACCTTTGTTAATTTCTCTTTTTAATTGTCTGTAGTACAGAAGTGGTGTATCTATTTTAATTTCTCCTTTTGATTGTTTTAGTACAGAAGTGTTGTACCGTTGTTAATTTCTCCTTTTGATTGTTTTAGTACAGAAGTGTTGTACCTTTGTTAATTTCTCCTTTTGCTTGTTTTAGTACAGTAGTGTTGTACCTTTGTTAATTTCTCCTTTTTGCTTGTTTTAGTACAGAAGTGTTGTACCTTTGTTAATTTCTCCTTTTGATTGTTGTTGTACGGTAGTGTTGTACATATGTTAATTTCTCCTTTTGATTGTCTGTAGTACAGTAGTGTTGTACCTATGTTAATTTCTCCTTTTGATTGTATGTAGTACAGTAGTGTTGTACCTTTGTTAATTTCTCCTTTTGATAGTTTTAGTACAGTAGTGTTGTGCCGATGTTAATTTCTCCTGTTGATTGTTTTAGTACAAAAGTGTTGTACCGATGTTAATTTCTCCTGTTGATTGTTTTAGTACAGAAGTGTTGTTCCTTTGGTTGTGCTTGTAAGACTCGTTGTGTGCTTCCTGTAGGAGTGAGATTAGGGAAAGGTAAGTAGTCATTTAGTTTTTTTTAAATTTCTATGTAAAGAAATGAGTCAAGGGAAATTTAAAGAAGCACATGGGACTTATAGGTCATCTGAGCATCATGCTATGGCATTCAAAATTTTGATAGAGACACTATTGGTTACAACGATTTAATGTATTTTCACTATACAATAAATCAATAGAGCCCGGCTCTAATGCCAGAACTCCTAACTCTGGGGCGATAACACTTTATTCACACTTTTGGTAGAGGCACTCTTGCTCATTATAATTATGAACTCAGTTAGTTTATTTAATACCCAGAAGCAGAGAAGAGGATTTTCAAAGAATAAATACATTTAAACTATATAATTAATAAAGCCCCACCCTATCACCAGAACACCTGATCCTGGGGCCATAAAATTCACAATTTTGGTAGAGGCATTCTTCCTCATTGGAAGAAGTACTTTAGCTCATCATAACTTTGTACTTAATTGGTTCATTTAATACCCAGGAGCAGAGATTTTCAAAAAATTTATGCATTTTCACTATATAATAAATAGAGCTTCGCTCTAGCACTAGAAACCTTGACCCTGGGGTCAAGAATTTCATAATTTTGGTATAGGACTCAATGCTCATTACAATTATGCCAACAGTGTGACTGCTTGATATCCAGGAGTAAAGAAGAAGATTTTTAAAGATTGCATTAATTTAGTGGTTTTGGCACAAAACCCTCAGGCACCATGGGGTAGGAACCATGAAATTCACAAGTTATGTTTCCCTTAACCCATAGATGCTTTATGCCAAAATTGGTTGAGCGGTTGCGGAGAAAAAGCTTAAAATGTTCAAATGTTAACACACGTCGCACACCGCACGACAAACGAGGTCAGACGAAACGGATAGCAATTAGGTCACCTGAGTGACCTAAAAAAGCTTTGGCAAAGTAAATGTCAGATCGAGGGACTTCTGTTAATATTTGACAAATGATTTATCTCTTAGTACTCCTTGTTTCTTATATTTTTAGTCACTATTTGTTATATATGTTTGATTTCTTTTTATTCATTTCTTTTATTAGTGTGTCTATACAATGGAAGAAAATACAAACAGGGAGAAAAATTTCCCTCTGAAGACGGGTGTAACACGTGCATTTGTTCTTCCATTGGAAAAGCCATGTGCCCGAGAATGGCTTGTATTGGCCGTAAGTAGCTTGCTACTGTATGATTAATCATACTTTGTTTGAACTGATACTAGTAGTTATTTACAAGCTTTGATCGTAAAAATGTTACTAATTAAATAATATTAAGTAACCAATTACGTAAAAACTGTTGTGATTGATTGTATATTTGTTTTCGTCCCATTCGAGAATTTTTCACTCATATAGAGAGGTAAATCACTTACCGATTAAATTGTATTATATATTGACAATAGTCGGACCTCGGGACCATCGAGCACTAAGGGATCTCTAGCGTTCCAACACCTTCCTTGACATCAGGTTTCTATCTTTAAGTTTGTGTCCGAGGGACCTGCAGCTTTGTTTTACAATTGCCGAGCGCATGCCATTCAAATCTTTTAAAATCAAAAAAAAAATCACAAAAGTGATGTAAAGTTTTATGTTATTGTAGAGGACATATGTTCCCTACCGAAAGTAGTCGGCCCTTGCCAAGAAGCGTTAGGACGGTGGTGGTATAACAGAGGAACGAATCGCTGTGAAAGTTTTACCTACGGCGGGTGTCAGGGAAACAAGAATAACTTCCAGTCAATAAGGGAGTGCAACACACGATGTAGAAAGGGAACAAGTAAGTACTGGACTTAAGCGAGGGCGCTGACTCTTGACCGGGCTTACTTTTACTCTAAGACAATGTGTAGAAGCTCCTAGCAATATGAATATTTAACTTATTTGATTCAACGAAAATGACGGGTTATTTCAATTCACATATAATTTTTTCTTGATGAAAAACAACCATTCTGCTCTCAGCTAACGGTCCTGTCGTGTATGTACCCATAATACCATACTTATGACCTTTGGGTTGGATAAGGAAATGTAGATTTACACAGATTTATCTGCTGCCTCAATTCGGTCGAAAGTACATGTATTGCTAAAACTTTAAACAATGACTTCAGACTTCAATCATAAACCATTTTCTTTATTTATATACTCATGATTTCATCTTCGCTGCATTATCAGAATACACCTTTTGACTTCAGTGTAAGAATTTTCAATATATACTGGGGCCATAGTCTTATCATTTTGTTGATAATGATGTTCTTTACCTTTCAACAGATATACAGCCAGCTCAACGCACTTTTTAGTCTTATATTGTTTTTGCACAAATAAATGTCATATTATTTTAATGCAAATTGTGCAAAGACGCAAAAAATATATTTAAAAAAATGACTTCTAACTTAATATTACGTTTATCTTACTAACTTGTAACACAATTCACAGATAATTATTGGTAGGATTTTAATATACATGTACTATTGGCTGATGGATTGCGATAATTCCCAATGTTTTTTACGGGTTCAAACGTGGCCTTTTATGTACCCCTTCTTTGTAAAGCAGTTCTTTGCCTAGCATTGACTCAAAAACATTGCAAATCATGTTTCTTTTTTATTTTCTGTACAATAACATGACTCTATAAAGCGCAAAACGATAATAGTTTTTCTCATTTGTTAGACTGCTTTTCATGTTAAAAAGCTTGTATTTTGATATGGTTGCTTTCTGAATCTAGCATCATAAAAGATAAATATGATTGTAAAATTCTAAAGTTTAAGACCGTAAATGAAAAAAAAATTACCTTTTAAATGATTAAATACATATTAGAGCTATGTCTCGTATTCAAGGTCGACAATGTTCATTTAAGGGCAAAAAGAATATAACCTTAATTTATGCGAAAAACCATGTGAGATTAAAAAGTTCGTAGAGCTGTACTTTTGATTTAAAAAAAAGCAGGAACACAATTATATATCAGCTTTTCATTCCAGATCGCCCCTCTCGTCCCGGCCGTATTCGCCTTCCCGGCCCTTCACGCCGTATTCGACTTCCGGGCCCTACACGTCGTATTCGACTTCCGGGCCCTACACGCCGTATTCGCCTTCCCGGCCCTTCCCGCCGTACGCGCCGACGACGCCGTATTTAAATTGGATGAAGATCATTCCATTTGGGATTACGAAAATGAGGAAATTTATTGTACAAGAAGTTAAACCATATTTTGCTGTGTTACTGCACTATTTGAATAATAAAGATATAAAGTTTAATTTTAATTTAATTGTATATACTGAAAGGAAAAAGAAACGCAGGGTAAACTTTTGAGGTGAATTAAATTTATTTTTCTGAAAATATGTTTTAGTTTTCCTATCTAAATTTTATTTAAAATCATCTTTCAAAAAGATTAAACCAAATTCCCATTTCATTTTGTCCAATCATTCATGAGTTATTGAAGCTCAAATAAAGATCCCCCCCCCCCCCAAAAAGAGAAAATCGAAAACTCTCATTATCTTCAATGTCTCCCCCGTGCATCTGTCAGAGCCTTATTTCTCCTTCGCATGGAATTTCATTAGAGTGTTTATTTTTCAAACCCTGGCTATATTTTTTTTAATAATTTTATTAATCATTATGCAAACCCGTTTACAATTCCTAACTAACCCGGGCCAGGATAGTTAGTATAACAAAAATTACAGAGAAACATATATTTAGTTAAAGCATTTCTACAAATGTCACCATCTTATTTTTATACATGTGAGTTTTTGTTAAATTCAGTAAAATGTCCATATTGTTTTTAATATTTGTTTTCACATAGGAATATAACAAATCTTCTGTTTCAGTTTTGTTCTGAACTCTGCAAAACATTTTAAATTTATATATCTTGTATGCTAAGAAAGACACAAAAGTATTTAAAAGTTGTATTCTGGAATTCCGTTCAGAATAAAAACCTAGGACGACATGCTTCCACTGTACATCAAAATTTAACACAGAACTCAGATTTTTCCATAGTATATGAACATGTTCACAATCAAAAAGTAAATGTTTAATATCTTCAATTTCATCACACATATTACATAAAGCGGAAGTTCTATATTTGCATTTAAAAAGAAAACTGTTACAACACAATATATTATTCAACAATTTATAGTTAAATTCACATATTCTTTTGTCATAGATATCTTTAACCTTATTTCTATATATATCCTTCCAACTCTCTTGAGCAACAGAAAATAATTTTTTATACATTAATTCATGGCTTGGGGCTTTAAATTTCTTAAAGAGTAAATTATCGTAAAAAAATTTACATTTCTTATCTTAAATACAATAAACACCATTTACAAACTTAAATTAACGCTTCCCTATATTCTGTATGTATGCACAGCTATTCATATTGAATCTTAAAGATTTTTTTTATAGATTGCTGTTTTTAATATTTTGTATTCACACATCCAATTTGATTTTTCTTTTAAATCAACGGACAATTCTTGTAGAGTTTTAAATTTTCCATTTTTGTTAAAAAGGTCTTTAATATGTGTTATCCCACTTTTGATCTAATTTTTAAAACATAATGTTTTGTTTTCATATTTAAGCATATTATTATTCCATATTGGTTGCTGAGCAAAACTTACATTAGACAATTTAGTTTCATCGATGTACCCTGGCTATTTTTGGCATGGGAAACCATGCAAAAAAAAAAATAAGTCAAACGGTGTGAGCATGCGCCAGTGCGAGGAATACAACAGTAAGTTGACTGGCTCAAAAAAATTAAATTGCGGAATTGTTTTCGTTCAAATTTCGAATGAATGTAATGATTATAATCGTCTACTGTATAAATAGCTGTTTTTGTGGTAGTAAGGTGGCGATTTTAGAGATAGCAGGACGAATAACCCGCTCGTAACATGGCTCTGTTTCGCTTTAACCTCATCGTCAAGGTTGATTGAAAACCAATCTACAGATGTTAATTGGTATGACGGAATAAGTAAAATTTTTGCAGAACAGATTTTTTGTATGCTGTGTCCGTGTCCGATACATAAGGTGAATACTAGTATTCATGACGATTTTATATTAGTTTCTATGCAAATTGATAATATATGAAGTAATCATTTTTTGACCGAACTTTTGTCATATCCATCATCAGTGTGGATGTATGAAGAAATCTTGTGCTCACCATGTTGCGCCGTTCCTGCATTTGGCCACAAAATGGAAGTAAAGCAGAAAGTAGATAAAAATAGCTACTTTGGGTAGCTTTAAATACCAAGGTAGCTATTAATAGCTACGTAGGTAGAAACAGTCTTTGGACTGGACCTGTTAGCATATCGATCATGACTATGGTTCTTGTTTGTTTACGCACAGGTCTGGTACAACCAATATATTTATCTTCAATTACCAATAACCTACATAGATTTTTTACCTTCCTAAAGTACTTTTATTTAGCTAAAAGATAAAACTTATTTCATGACCAGACTGTAACTTCTAGAATAGAAGAACAAAACCAGACATTTCTGGTGTCAGAACATGATAAAGGCCGGATTGGTAAAAATTTAAAGTAATCAAACTTATCCTAATACACGAGGTGGTGTTTAGTTACTCAGATCAAAAAAATGGAAAAACATATTTTGCTAATATTGTTCAAATGCAGAAATGTGTAAACTTTCTCTGCTTTGGATGACAGATGCTTTTTAATTATCATAACCCCTTTTATAAATGATAGTGGACATTTACTTGCAAATCATTTGTCTTTTTGAAATAAAAAGCAAATTGTAAAAAGTTTTTTTAATGCTTTATTTCCATGCTTTCAATAAAACCATCAGATACATTTATCAAAATTGCACAGAAAATTGTTCACACCCACCCACTTTCGCACTTCACTCACACTTACATCAGCAATACATCAATTTTTGCAAATTTTTACACACTTTATATGGATAAAAAAGGGGGGAAAGTATGCTACATTTGATCTAAATATGTTGTTTGTTTTTTTTTCAGAGGATTACATTTCCAACATAATTTTCCAATGTGACCATGTAGACTCAAAATTTTCTGCAGTTAGATTTTTAACAGATATGTACTTTTAAACCTATAATACATTTTTAAATGGCCAATCAGCCCATTTAAATTAGGCTTCTTTGTATTTTGTAAGCAGTGAAAAAAGTGCTGTTTAGCATATAAAATTACAAAATTTATGACATCGTTTGATTTTGACAAAGGTAATTCTCCAAAGATTACATTTTGAATATTGAAACCTACACTTTTTTATGTATAATTGTAAATATGTAGACTAAGATCATTCCAAATATGCATTACATCTTTACACATGAACAGACTGTGCAATATGGTTTCATATTCATTGTTACAGAATGTACAAATATCATTTTCTTTTTATTTTATTTTTTTAAGGTAATAATTTACAGGCAGTATTCTATGCAAGATTCTAAATTGTAGCCACTGGACAGCTGAATTTGAAGACACCTTAAAGCACACATCAGAAACATATCTCAACTCCATTTCTTGAAAATCTTTTAGAAGCATTTCTGAATTCCATTTTGAAAAACCGGTTGGCTTTACATTCTTTGTGTTAATACTTTTAAAAATATCTTTTGAACATTTATCAATCAATATTAATCTTTTGTATCACAATGGCAAAAATGGACGCTGTAGCTTTGAGAAACCTATCCTTGAAAATTTTGTATCTTTTAAAAATTATGAAATAGCACTTATAATGCTGTTATACTGCATAAAACATACATGATGAATGATATGTTTTTCCACAAAATTCTCTCTAGATAAAAATGATCCATTGACATCTAAAAAATCATCAATAATTTTTACACCATTTTTGTACCATTCTTTATAAAAAAAATACTCTTTTTATTCACTTTGATACAAGAGTTTAGCCAAACTGGGGTTGATAAAATTTCAGACTGTGTAAGATTTACCTTGTCAAAACGATTATCAGTGATGAAGGATAACCAAGACTCTAAGACATCTTTCCCAAATTTGTTTTTCGTACATTTCAACATTTTCAACAAAAAATCATCACCCAAATTCAAAATATTTCCACAACATCTTGTCCATAAACTATTTCAAAAATATTCAACCCTGAATGACTTCCTTTAAAGCCGCTTGGTCCGATTCTAATCGCAGAAAAATATATTCGCTTTTCTTCTTGAAAAATAATCGTCCATAAATTGTTTCAACTTTTGTCAAACTATACACCTAAAGTCTTTTTAGTTTAAAAGAAATTAAAACTCAAAGTTAAAAAAATAAATTTTGTTAGATCACACAAAAATTAATCCTATGTTGACATCACGTGAAATCACCTTCGAAAAATTAGATTTATCGCTTACATGTACATGTATATCTCATGAAGAACAAACCCGACCATTTTTTCTATAAGATTTTATAAATGGAAAAAAATACTCGGGTTTGAATTATCTTCATAATTAGATATAACCGATAAATTTATTTTGTTCAGAGTTAACCTCACAACGGATCTTAGCTTCCCGTAAGGAATTTCTGTTTGTCAATAAAGTTTTTGATCTATGTTTTCCTTGCTACGATAATTGTTATAAAGTATTAAATCAATCTGATAGTTTATTTTGATACATTATCTAATGTAATGAAGTACTTTTATTGTGTAAGATTATATGTGTCTTTTTCGGATCAAGCGGCTTAAATAATTCTTTGAATCCATGCACATTTTAGAGAAAGTATAAAATTTCTAAGATGTACCATGTTAAGGCCTCCCAATGTCTGGTGCTGCGTAGCAACAACACGTTTTATTTTATCACTTTTTGACCCCCATACAAATCTAAATAAACAACTGCTGTGTTAAATTGTCTAAGATTTCTTCATTTGGATTTGGTAATGAAATAACCAAATGGTTTAATTTTGGTACAATTAATTTTTTTGCAACTGTTACCTGTCCAATGGGAGTTAGAATACGTCTTTTCCATTGCTGAATCATTGAAGTGATTTTTGGCAATTGGACTTTGAAATTTATATCAACATTTTTTTCTAGATCAACAGAGAATTCATTCCTAACAAGGAGAAAGTTGTTGCCCCAATCTGGCTTCCATCTTGAATGGTGAAAAACCTCAGCAGAAATTTTTTTTTGAGCCTATCCAAATAATTTTAGTTTTTGTACTGTTTATTTTCAAACCTGAAAATTTTGCATCTAATTCTAATGTATGAAGCGCAGCATATAGAGAACCTGCAGAACCACACGGGTATGTTAAGGAAGCATATAAGTCATTTTTGGGAAATTTAGACA